TTCCGCCCCTAACATCTAAACATTCTTAAGGAACAAGCAAGAATGGGTCACCTATGTAATGCCTGGACAGCACAGCAAAGGCATCAAAGGATAGGTGCTCACTGGTGATACTGAAGTAACAAAACTTCCTTTCCTTTGATTTTTTTCCCCCCAGACTTGGACAAAAGATGGTGCTTCTAGTTAGGAAGAGATGTGGACTCTGTATCTGTTCACAGGCTTCCCAGAAGCATTTCTTTGGTCATTGGAAATATTATGTTAAAACTAGGTAGACCCTCCCTAGCCTGGTCCCAACGGACACAGAAAGACAAAAAAAGAGGACAGAGTAGGACGTATTGAATGTTTCATTTGAATCATTCCAGATTAAACCCACAACTGATACAATTTCATTACAATAGCTGCCAATAAATGTGAACCGACCAAGAAACAGTCATGTTAAATAAAAATAAATTCAATGGAGGCTTTTTTCAAAATACCAAAAAAAATTATTTAAACAGCCAATTGTACCAGAACCCACCCCGGCCCGGCTGTGGGATACCCCGGCCGCTCACACTCTGCACAGGCTCAGAGGCCACCTTGCTAATCTTGACGCCCAAAGGCGGCTCCGGCGCAGCCAGGGGGAAAGTGGCGCTGGGCAAAACCAAATGTGGCAGCCTCCCCTCCCCCAAGGGTCATAGTTCAAGGCTGGGGAGTGTGGGACTTGGAGTCCCCGAAAGGGACTTTGAACCCACACAGTCCGGGCGCTTGCCTTCCCATCGGTGCGCTCGGGCACTGCTTGCTCCTGCCTGGCTTGGCGGGCGGCGCTCCACCTCTCCCCCTCCCATCCAAAATTATAACATAAAATATACAAAAGCCTGACATTATAAAGGTTTTTATCTTTGCCTGCCTGACGGAGGACATTAGGCTAAAGAGGACATGTCCTCCTAATGTCCTGACGGAGGACATTAGGCTAAAAAGGAGGACATGTCCTCCTTTTGCCTGATGTCTGGCAACCCTACTCGAGAGCCTTGCTCATATGCTAAACTGTTAGTTCTTCAACTATCAAATTTGAGATTTGCTATTTAATCTGACGTCAAGTATAACTTTGGACGATGAGACAAAGTATGGATGCAATTTTAAACATACACATCACAACGGTGGTATAAACAAGGTTCTTGTTTCTATAAAAATGTTATTGTAAAAATGTTATTGAGCCATGTTTTAAATAAACAAATAAAGAAACAATACCTAGAGAACTGTGTTCTACACTGCTCACCTCTAAACTTGACAATATACTATAACATTTGCCAAAAAGCAAACAGATAAATTTTAAAAAGGCATATTCTAAAGGAAGGAAGACGTCTGTCTGCATTGTATGCCTAGGCTCTGTGATCAAATAAAAATAAACAACACCGAATCTATTGCAAGTTTAATTATGAACACGTCAGATCCACATGCAAACTAGGTTTAAATGTTTTGTTCGGCAAAAACTCATTTTAACATTCTTGTTAGAGGGCAACTTCAATTCCAGAATGTTAGAACAAATAAAGGATTCATTGTGAAGCCTTGGAAATTCTGTTTCATGAAATAAAGATGAGATGCATTCAAAGGAGAGATAGTACAGCCTCCAAATAAAAAGAACTAGGATCCTCCAGCAAACAAGAGCTTCTTTTAAATTGAGTTCTTTCCCAACAGAGCCAACACAACAATACCTGTAAAAGATTTTCCCCTCTTTCACAGATGGTTCATGCAGAGGCCAGTACAGACATTTCTATATGTTTGTCATCAACAATCTAGTGCAATCATTGTACATAAGATACATATACTCTCAGTCTTCTTCCTCCAAGACTGATGAAAATCTTGTTGGTAAGATTTGGCGAAGAGAACCTTAAAGTGAAATCATCCTCTTCACAAGTAAATGTAAAGCAGTCTATTATAGATACATGTCAGCAAGACAGTGCCTCTTCCAGGAGAATCCTTCACCATAATAATGGGAAAACTAATACAGAAGGAACATCTGAAAGAGCATTCCAAACCATACCCAGTTGAACTTCTTGATGCTCCCTTACGTCCTTTATCTTTCATTTTATTCACTTCTCAAGACTTAGAATAATATTTTCTCTGAAGACCCAAACACAGTGTCAGAAAAGGAACCAATGTGCAGGTGCAGTCAAGCAGTCTGAAGCAGGGGCTTGACTACCTTTTCCCCAACCTGCTGCCATGAAGATGTGCTGCACTGCCATCCTCACCATTCTCATACTTGCTGAAAATGATGGGAGTTGTACTTTGACACATCTGGAGGACAGCAGGCTGGAGAAGACAGAGTTGGAGACCTCTGATCCACCTTCCCTCACCTGCGTTATGAATTCACAAGGAAGCCTTGTGGATAGTGCTAGTACAATATGGAGCTAACAGCAATACTGGAATCTACAAAACTCTTCTAAGGTTGAAGAGGAGCACATGAGACATCCCATACACATTTGGACAACTGCTCTGTTCACTGGAAGTATTTACGTAAGTTTGGCCAGGCTTCTTGGAATTAATCCACCTTCTGCTATGAGCCTGTTGAAAACAGCTGCCTGAAAAAAAACTGAACACTTCTAGCTTTGAAAAGGAAGACCCTAAGAAGGTTCAACCCAACTTCATGTAAACAGATGTGATAGTCATTGCATTTAACATTTATGGTTTTAAAGCTGGATGTATGGCACTGTTTAGAAAGCCACTTAATTTCCCATCCAAGTCAAGCCTCAAAACTTATACTGTATAAGGCTTCAAACATGCCATAGAATTATCAACAGCAGAAACAAGAGCCTCTGTGTTTCCCTTCAAGTTGGATTCTTTACCTCTAAAAAGCAGTGGCAACTAATGCCTCTATGGCAAGGGGTGGGAAACACATGGCTCTCCAGATGTTCAGTCCAGATGTTGCTGGACTGAACTTCCCATAGGTCCTAGCCAGGATAACCAACAGTGAGGAGTGCTGGGACTTACAACCCAACAAGGTCTCGACACAGCTGCACTCTGCTTATTGAAAAAAAAAAAGTCTTCTGTGTATCTCTTTCCATTAAACAGCAAGTTTTGAAAACCATCTGGCAAAACCTCACACAGTTTCATTTCTGCTCCCAGTATCTTCTCCCATACCAACCACTGCATGTCCTTCATGAATTGCATGTCCTTCATGACTTCAATAGCAGCAGGAGCAGGCTTGGGAGTAAATGCTGACATATTTAGAACACACTGTTTCCCAACTTGGCCAAAATACATAAAGAGTATTGTTGGGTGGTTCAGACACAGCAGTTTTTCCCAACCTGGTACTTTCCAGATGGGAATGTGTGAAGCCAACATACCTTTCAAGCATACACTAGTTTGGAGAAGGTTAAGAGCATGGAGCATAAGAGCAGAGGGAGACAATTATGTGAACCAGTATTTTATGTTTTACCAGGCAAAGATTAAAAGGATGTTTTGGGATCACTAACTCCTAAGTACAGCTGGGATGGAATGGCAGGACGTTTGGGACAAAGAAAAGGAAATAACATTAAACTATGAAATCTAACAGGAATAATGGTGCATCCTTGACAGAGCTGGATTTCATGATCTCATGATTTCATGAGTCCCTTCCAGATTATTATATAAATGCAAATTTTATACCTAGGGAAGAAACAAACAAACAAACAAACAAACAAACAAACAACCCATTCTCTATATCCTTTGCCCAGCTACTCTTTACATTCCTTTCCATCCCTTCGTCCTTCTTTCTTTCCTCCTTTCCTTGGAACACTGCTAAGACTTTCATGCCCTTCCAGACCCCCTAGGGGTCCCTTCCTTGCTCGGCCACTGTGGGGGTGCCATTCCCAAGGTTGCTAAGCTGTTGGCCGATTCTTCAGCGTAAGAGCAAACTCTCCTGGATTACGTCACAACTGCTAGTGGATGACGTCATAGCTGCGCCATAGCATGACTACCCACCATTCTTTCTTTCGCATAGGTGACAAAGAGCTTGCTTAATTGCCTTTCCTTAGGTCAATCATAATGACATGATCCTATCTGAACTCTGTCAACTATCTGTATACTGTCTACTATCTGTGAGCTTGTAAGGTTAATAAAAGCACAGTCCTCCTGGGGGCAGGCAGTCATCTTACTCGAGGTCCTCTTCTACTAGCCGCCCATCAGGAGCACTGCTGGCACGGTCCATCTGTGTGTGGCTGACTTCTTTAACTTCTATCTCTAAGAGACTATTTGCTATCCTAATTACTTGTGATCACAACACCCATCAGCCTTCTCATTTCGTGACTCCAAATGGCCACAGCAAGGAGCCCCCTTTTCCTCCAGTGGGTGAGTCACCAGCAACCTCTGATCATAATCTAGCCATGCTGCTCATAGTCATATCACCTAACACCCACCCACAGCAGCCAGAAAGGAGCGGGGTGTGCCTGTAAGCCTTCATTGGACAGCTTGAGCATGGGAAAGTTACTCTCTTTGGACTACAGCTTCCCAAATCCTCCAGTCCGAAAAATACCCTTCATCAATAACTGCACATTAATTTGCCACGCAACAGCCAACCCTAAGCTTCCCTCCCTAAACCCAGAGTTTATATGAAATGTGGAGAAGGTGGGAAACCATCCTTTTTGGTGTCGCATATGACCTTCAGACATTCAGACTCCAAGCTGGCATGAGAGTCTGCTTGCCCTTTTTCCTCAGATCTTGGAAAAGTTACTTTTTTTCGATTCCAGAATCCTCACCAAACTCTTCTTTCACTGTATGACCAGACCATAAGCAGCTCTCCTCTTTTCCTGGGTTCTTCTCCAACTCATTTCTTTTCCTAGGAATGATTGTCTTCTGCATGGAATTAAGGCCAAGACAGAATTGTTCTACAGCCTCCCTTTCCCCATCCATCAAGGGCTCTTGAGTGTTGTGCTCAAATCCAGAAATTCCATGGAAAGACAACTATTACCATTTTTGCTTTTAAATATTTCCAGTGAAGAGGGAGGGTTTAAAAAAGAAAAGAAAAAGGAAATGAAGAACATACTTACTAGCACTGTCATTACTGTAATCCCAGGCCTCAACAAGCAATGTGTAGGACCTCTGCAAGAAACAAACAGGTAGCTATTAGTATTTATTTATTTATTTATTTTAAAATAAGGAAACTCACTTGGACAGAGCTGCTGTCTCACTTCTAAAATGAAGAGTTTTACGAAAACCTCTCCACATTTTCCTTAAGATTATGTGCTGTTTTTAAACATAAATAGGCAATAGATTATAGCCGAGACAAAGGTGATCCTCTTGCAGCTGCTTAAGCTACTTTATCCAGCCTGACTAAGCTACCTTATCCAGTCTGACTGGAGCAATTTAAGGTGAAAGGTCTCTTATCTTTGTCATCACTAATGCATCTTACATACTTAACCAGGAAGTTCAACATCCACTGTTTGATGCCAGACATAGCAATGTGTTTATGGCTTTATTTTGTTTTTCAAGCTAAGCATCATGCACAAGGAGAAAGCCGCCCAGGAAAAGAAATGTGAGTTTGTGTATGGTTTTTTTTTCTTCATTTAAATTTTTTTTTAACATTTCACACAAATGCCAACACAATTCCCATTCAGAAAGCTGAGCAAGGTTGCTAGGATTGCCCTGCCAAGGTTCAGAACCATAATCTCCAGAGTCTCAGCTTTTCAGCACCCCTTTGAACACTTTGTCTGCTCAAAGACATCGCAGCTCCCACAAGTATCAGGTAACAAAAGGAAAGAACTGATGAATTTAGTAAAGGAAGGAGGGAGGGAGAGAGGGGAGAGAAATGCATAAAGGAACCTTGGAAAGGAAAACGAGAACATGGAACTCG